CCGTTCCCCTATCCGCGACCTGGGGACGCGCTCGGTAGCATACAGCTCTGCTCTTCCGAAAAGCAAAGCAAAAGCAGAGGTTACCTTCTCAGATCGAGAGCCAATGTAATGGGAAGAGATCCAGGGACTTGATGGAAGAAGACAGACTTCACATGAATGAGTACACATTTACAATATACCAAATGATTTCTCCCACCAAGATAAAGCTATATATCAAACCAGAACTACTGAAAAAACCGGCACAATCTGGACAAACTAAACCAGGGAACAACAGTTCACTAATCACCGTCTAACCAGGCTGACTTTAAAATCGATCGACCGATCCATTGATCGACTAGTAACAGGCATTTAATCTCACACAGGTGGTGAACGTTTAGTAAACTAAAAAACAGTTTGACTCTCAAATTTCCTTATTGGTTGAATCAACTGCAATCTGTTCAGATAGCCTGCAGTCATGGACTTCAAAACAGACTGTTTCGATGCTAGACTGACTCCTGATTAGTAAACCAGTGTTGTCATCTCTTCCCCTTCAGATATCTTCACGCTTGTATCAAAATAAATAAATTATTCTGGCAGCTTACGAGTTTTTGGACACTGGAACTGTTTGGGATTTATTTTGTGAATGTTTATATTGCATTATTATTATTATTATTATTAATCTGAAGGGTGTATGCATCGAATTCTTGTGAGATTCGAACCCAGACACAAGTGGTCTTCATTTTGATGTGTTGATTCATGGACTTGACATAGGAACAGATGTTATTCACTACAATTTTTTCGACGCATCACATGATGATGATGATGATGATGATGATGATGATGTCGATCGGTTACCTGAATCGGGTAGATCTATAAAATTAACCAACTGCACAAAACGTCGCACACAACGACGCAGTTCTATTAATTTTGCTTTCATTCCTGTCTTATATGTGGTCCTGAGACTTCTACCTAAGATAACTCCCATCGTCCAAAAGAGGTGTCACTTGATGAAGCAAACCGGAACAGCCTAGTTTGGTCATATTTTGGATGCTGCAGAGGTAGGAAGGATGAATGAATGCAGCCTAACTGTGCAACTTTTCTGCTGGTTTCAGATCTGCTAAAGGTTGAGAAGAAAGACCAATGCACAAAGGTCAATGCCCTTTGGTAGTTGTCCTCCCGGCCCAGCAATTCACTGATATACAACTTGTCCATCTACCCACAGCATGATGGGGGACGACACGCGGCAATCTGTCATGTGACCTGACGGTGACATTCAGAAACAAGCGAATTCAATTCATTTTGACGAAACCGGAAAAAGCCACGTGATCTCTATGTATTTATGATCGGTCTTCCATTAGTGCATTATGGGGATTATTATTATTATTAAATTTTTGAATATTCAGAATTTAGATGATTTTGATTGCATTATTAAACGCAGTACAACTGGGGATTGTGATCCTTTGAATAACAATTGAAAGAACCAGCAAATTGGGGAAAAAGTAAACAATTACTGTGATACAGATTAGAGCTCGAACCCCGCCGTATACCTGATAAATTCAATCCACTTTTTCACAGTTACACTACGCTCCTGGAATGAATTGATGACAATGAGTCTCTTTTTTGACACTTTTAAGGACAAGCAAGCGCAGACTGAAAATTTATAGACTATTCATAATATGAAACTGTATTTTTAAATCTTTTGCAATATTATTTGAACTACTATATATCAGGTTTAAATCAATAAGCATTTAAACTGACTGGTAATTATTGTGGAGAGTTCACAGTTTTTTGCGTTCCTTTCTCCTTATTTTCGTCACCGCCCATAATTTGTCCCGTTGTCCCTGTGCCCGAATGACAGTCTATTCAAACCAGGGCCAAGGTCAGAAACGAAAAAATCCGTCAGCCGAATGAAGCTGTTCCCACTACTTCCCAAACGTGTATTTACGGAACGCATTCGTCGAGCTCGATCGTTTACCGGTTTGAATCAACGATTACGTGATACCGTCGGTCAGCAACAACAACAACAACAACAACAACAACCTTTCAGTGCGGATGGGATGCGGCGTATGGGGTTACCGGAACGTCTGTTTCGTCTACAACGTTCGTCGTCCGAACGTGTTCGTCACTCTAGACCCGGTTCGTGGTTAAATCTGTGGGACAAAGCGGACTCGGCTGGGGGTACGAATAATTTGGATGTGATCAATAGACAATTTTTCCCCTCACGAACTCCGTCAATCAATCAACCGCCATGCTCAGTCGGGAATACAGTGTTCACTGGAAATGAGGCGATACGGGTGAGTGAATGAACGGAACATGACCAAACAGTCACCTCGGGAGTAATCTTTATTTGCCACTGTTGCTTCCTTTTATTGNTCAGGTGGTGTTAGTGGGGTCAGAACACACGTCCTCCCGAGGTGATAATTTGGTGACGTTAGGACCGGGCCACCATTGCCAAAAAGGGGAGTATGATATTGGTGAATTGTAAAGTGCTGCATTAAATCACGAATACACATTTCGAAAAGAAAAAAATGTGGTGAGCAAGAATAATTTTCAACGATTCGTTTTCTTTGACCAGTATATCACAATTAAATAGCAACACAATTTATCTAGCTCAGTTAAAACAAAGATGGTAGTGATCGCACCTACAGAAAAAAATGAAATAAATTGGAAAAATATGGATAATATCTAGTTTTCAGTACATGATGTCTGTGGTCCAGATAAGTGACAAAGATTAGTAGGGAACGGGTGAAAAAAGGGATGAGTGGAGGATCATGGAAGACGCAATGTCTTCACAAGATGTTTTCGCCAACACAAAGGTGGATTTTGAATGCGAATTCCCGCTACGATGTGTAATCCACTTTGATTGTTGTTCATAAACCTGATATAACAAGCCACACCCCCTGATCATATTAACTAAATGATCTGACTCGACAGGATGTGAAGATATTGTGCTCGTCATTGATTTTGTTATCTCAGCATACAACTAAACCGGATGATGCTCACGAACTCTCTCAGTCAGGTGTCTGCTCNTGTAGATCGTTGAGCAGGAAAAAGTGAAAGAGTAAAGGCAGAAAAGGGGGAGACTGATGGCAGATGTGTGGTAACCGTGCAAAGAGTACATGTGCACCATGGTACAGCTTCCAGGTTGCCAATCAGGAAACGGATTTCTTGACCAATCCTGTGGTTTCAAGTAGAATCAAACGAAGTTGATGAATGCAAGAAGACAACCAGCTGAGCCATACCGCTGTCTATTGGCCATTGAAGAATTGACCAATGATTGTTGGTAGCTTGTGATATTTATTTTCATGATTTTCCGAATAGAATTAACTGTATCCACAACTCCTCTTGGTTATACCGGACTTTGCGCTATTCAGTGGGCTTCTAATCCAACTCTGGGTTCGCGTTATTCGATTCCGGTTCCTATTCCAGTACCATAAGCAGTCAACATTGGGGTAACTAACACCGGCATAGTGATTCCCGTAAATGGCTGTCTTATTGTGGTGATCCAGGCTACGTGATGATGCCTACATTGGAGTGGCGCGTCACAGTTTCTGGACATCTGTAATCAATCGAACTTTAAAGGTGACGTCAATGACACGCGTACGGCATCCGACTACACGCCATAGGCAGATAGTACCAGTTAATCCGAGACAGTGCAGACTGAAGCAGAATTATGCAAGCAGTATTGCAATACGATTGGTTTAAGTCTAGGTAACCAATGATCTTCTTTTGTACATGTTATTTAATTGCCTTCATTTCTTCCAATAAATAAACTACAAACTACCGTTCTTGTGGCCTTTTCCTCGCACCTCGTTCACGTAGGATATTACGAGCTCGTACCATTGCGGTTCAGTGCTTCCGTAATCCGGTCCGTGATATCTGATCCTAGATTCGTGTCCTGTGATTCCTATTACGTGGTTCGTGTCCCGAATTCCGTGCGTACCACTATTACTACTACTACTACTGCTACTACGATCACTACACTTATGCAAACGGGTTTCTTTTCTACTCGAACAGTTTACCCCTCATTTGTTAGACGATTTAATATGCTGCGTTGGTCCGGGTATTCATTTTCTTGGAAGATCTGACATAAGTCGTTTTGAAATGTATCAGTCGAGCAGATTTTCTAAACCCTGTTGGCGAGCACTAAATCAGGTTCGGCTTCCTTTTTGAGTGGCACGAAACTTTGTAATTCGAATATACCGTCCGAACCACGTGATTTTTTTTATACATCGAGCATTGGATAGACTCCTCTTCGCGCTGTTTGTGGCAAACGTCAAACATCATGTGAGCGGAAATCAAATGGACTGTGATCATTCATGGTTCCTGCATATGCCCCCTATGGCTCTAATACGGATGCAACAAAAAGATGGCTTGTACCACAGTCTCAAAGACGGATTTCATGATTTTGGACGAAGAACTAAACGTACTCATTGGCCCTCTGTCATTCAATGAGGCTCAGTTTGGTGGTCTCCATGGCCTTAATAACTGTCGTTCAAATAAAGTCAAGTCACGTTTGTCACTGTTAGTTGCATCTAACCCATCTACAAAAGATCAAATCATATTACTGATTCTTCAATGGACTGGCTCTGAAAGAGCTGTCTATATAAAACCACCTGAAGTTTCAAACAAGGTTATTGTGACAAAAATACACTTCTTGATATGTGAATGAACTGACAAAAGACTACCGGATACGCATGTCTGAGGAGCGGCAAGAACCGCGAAACCGGCTTTGTGCTTCCAAGGAGATTTTGTCATGTTATTCATATGCTACTTATTATGATATATATGTGGAGTATACTTTGAAAGCATGAATCCTTGTCATAATTTCGATGGTGCAAATGTAGATAAACGCAATACAATCAGCAGTTTTCACGTGAACTCAAGAGTTGAAGGCTGAACTGGCCATCTGGTCGTCACGTGTGGTGAACACAGCCCTGAATGTTTTGGAGTTCGAGCCGTAAACAGCTAGCGGCTCACAAGCATTTGTTACGACCTTTGTTAAGTCCACTGAAATTTGACTAGTTTGTGTAAATTACCATTTTCTTGTAAATTTGATTCAATGGATATGGATACGTTGCTTTTGTCAGCAGTCATCTAGTTAAAATTGTATAAAAAAAGTGTATCGATATCGACTTTTGGATCACTGAGAACTATGAAGATTCCTGGTCCGCGATTCGATTTCCACCAACTCATTGTTATTGACAATCTACCTGGTTAGTTTGTGTGAAAGAGGTCAGGTACCGGATAAATTGATTTAACGGACTATGCTATCGATCCACAAAACCGAGAAGATACTATCTTGTGAAAATATTTAGGAAATAACTGAGATGCTCCTTATACCTGGGTTTCGTTGATGTCCGTGGTAGGTTGATTCACACTAGCAATGTCTCCCAGATTTTTCAACTCGATGTAACCGAAGATGTAAATGTCTTCTTCAGAACCTTTGCTGAATGGAAATTAATTGACCATTCACTTAACCATTCAAACATCACTTAGAATCTCTATCCTTGGGATTTAACTGAAGGTATCTTGTAAAAGAGGTCAGGCTGATTAAAATATTCTCTAAGTTACTCGCTGATCTATTAAGTCCATTGTAAATGGTGCCTACGTAAGGATGAGATTGATTTGAGACCGGGTCACCCTGGCTGCATTGACCATACTTTCATCCTTGAAAAAACAGAAAACGTCTTTCCCTTAGACCCATCAGGTTGGATGATCTAGTGCTACTTGTTCCTGAAAACTGTACTGAAACAATCGTTACCTCTTCTGGGATCCCTGCGTTGAAAAGATGTTCGACAAAAAGTGCGGTAATTGTCCGGATGGTCCCTTCACCCCTATTTTTCCTATCAAACTTTGCAATAAATACGATTTTTGACCTGTCCTTGTAATCGTGTTCGGCTGGTAGTGTTAAGTAAACATACTCCGAGTTCTTGCCGAGCAGCAGAGTTGACTCAAATGATCGACACGATGCCTCCGGTTTGTAGTCTGGGCGATTCGACACGGTACGAGGCTCAGCGGGTGATGGACGGTGCAGCGGTCGGGGGTGAGACAATCAGGACAACAGTGCCAGGGAATTATGGGGAAAAATTGGCAAATAGGTCCTCGTGGACAGAGACAGCATACCATAAACCAAAACAGATTCACTGGGATACAGAACTGGCATCACAAGGAGCATTGATTTAGTTTCAAGGAGTAGATTGACTCCCGTGAAGTTCGCAAGTTTGCAACGATCTGCTGTGTTAATATCCTAGCAAACAGTATGTGCTCGCTGCTAATTTACGTGTTAGCATAGCGTTTACACGGGTACGCGTGTTTGCATACATTGAAAGTGTCCAATGCAGGATTGGATTAGCCCTCCTCGAAGTTAAAGTTTTAGTTTTGTAAAACGCCCCCAAATTGATTTTTTACATTTTGTCTTAACACGACATAGCCATGGCTTTTTGTCCTTGGAATTCCTCTATCCACTCAACCCTCGTGATCAATAAATTATTTTGATGAGATTTCGCGCAATTCAACTAAAAATTTCCTACTCGAGAATATCTTGTATTGATAAGAGACCTAATCTTTTAGTTCTGTCTGATCTGGCATGACTTGGTGGAACAGAAGTGAACAATAAGTTCGTGGAATACATACATCTATCCAGTGGTTGTTATTCCATTTTTTTTTCAATTTGCTAAACGTCCACAATCCAAAAGGTTGTGCTCCAATCTGCCCCTGACCTTTTCTCAACCCGTCCTTGCTTTGTGCACTTTCGCCTAATCTGACTGGATTGGACGGAATATTGAATATTCACCTCAACTGACCCATAGATATATCACGAATGGGAACTGAGAGAGAGAAAAATAAAGCTTTCCGATATTGGTTGTCGCGCTTTGGTTCATATTGTTCAAAAAGGACCAGCTTCCAGGCAAACGATCAATCAAATTGTACTTCTTTGTAGGTAATAGCGTCCCCAATAACAACGGAATAGAGTAGCTAAGTTCAACCTAGTCCGGTGTGACACAGGCACGTTTCTGTTGGGTACAGAGTTTCCAAACAGTAATACAGTTTTGCTGGACAAGATAGTGCTAAAACCAACAATTTTAACTATGAAAGAGTTTATGGTTTCAGGATAGAAACCCCAATGCCAGTAATCAGTGATCAAAACTGTACAATCAAAATACATTTCTGTGAGGTTTATATTGGCTTTTGCTACTTATATTCTAAAATAGGACAAAGCCAAAAGTGTAAAAAAAAATACTCCTTGAAAAAGTTTTTGATACATTCGGGGAACAAGATAGAAACGGCGAAA